GGTGAAGTGAGCCAAGAGCGAGAACGAGTTGCAAAGGTTGAATATATAGTTGAGTCTATAATATGTATGTATACAAGTGTGACACAATCTTATCTATACTTTTTTGCGTTATTATTATTATATGAAATGTTTAATATTCGTTCTCTCTTTTTGAAAAAAGGTTTCTTGTAAATGCCTTTATATATTTTTGAACGTGAGTGACTTTGATCAATTGGGCTTTTTCCTTATTTGAACAAAATATTTATCTTCTATTGGAACTATAATAATAGTTGCTTTTTTCATGTCATACGTGACGGTAGAAAAAGTCGTTTCATGTCATTTTCCACTTGTCGTATATCCACATATTCGAATTTTGGTAATATGCGTGGATATTTTAAATAAAAGTTCTATATGAAGATAATTTATTTAATTTTGGTTCTAATAAATTTTGGTTTAAAATCAACACAACAGATTTCGTGTAAGTATAGTTACATGAACGTAAACATATTAGCATAACCATAATTTTTTTTTATATAAAGATGAAGGCTGGTTGACCAAAAAAAAAATGAAAGTCTAAATTTTGAAAGATAAATCTGTAAAAATGGTATGACAAAAAGTAAAGTTCGTTTGGTGTTTGTGATATTCTTTTTAGCTATAAAGAAAATGGCATCGTTTTGGAACTATAAGAATAAAGTCAATAAACCATGAAATTGGTATGAGGTTTTAGTTTATGAAATGTGGTTTTGTCAATGCGGCTAATTTATGTTGTTAAGCTAATCACAATGGCATAATATATAATTTCTGAAATGAAAGATACTATATATGTATTAATTTTGTTTTTTATTTAAATACATGTGTTATCCTAATTACATTGTTCTGACAATGCGTTATTTAAGTACTATAACAGAAGATTCGTGTTGTTTTGTGTAATTGATCTCTAGTTACATAAATATTTCGTTTTTAATATTTCTGAAATAATTGATACTAATACAAGATATCCATATATTATTCAACGAAAGTGCAAATAATATTTGTTCCCCATTAATTTGGACCGATCCGTGATAATCATGTAGTCATCTCTCCTTTGTTACAAACTTACCATGCCAATAGAAAAAAAGATAAATGCAAAAGTAGATATACACATCATTGCATATAATATAATTTTGATTAAAATGGGTTTAAATCTCTTTATTTATCAAATTAGATAACACATCATAAGCATATAGTATAATTTTAATTAAAATGTACTGCTCACTATCGATCAAACTCGTTGTCACATATTTGGAAGCAAGATTATCATGTAATCAATTTTGTCCGTCCAAACCCATTGATAACAAATCCAGATTATTTAATACTTTCAATAGATTTGGCTATGCGACGATGACGCATGCATGTGTGTATTTATACATACTGATCATAAATGATAAATTTTTATCATGACAATTGAATATCTAAGATAATATACATGTATAAATTTAGAATCCCAGTGACGATAGCTAATAATCCAATGATTTTGACCATTTTGATTTTGGATGCTATCTAGTCACCTGAAGTTTAAAAATTCATGTTGGATATAAATACAAAAAAGTGGGTAATAATTCGTATAACTCTTACAAATTTCTAAACATTATTTTTAATTGAAAATTTTCATTTGAAAAACAATCAACTAGAAGCCTTGTTATTTTAAATAGGAATGCTCAATCTATAGATAATTTGAACTTTGAACTTTTAAAACTATAACCAAATCTCTTTAATCTTTTATCAAAGGAAAAAAAGTGTTACATTGTTTGTTCGCACATGAAGAGAAACAAGTTTCAAAAGCATGTCTACTTTCAAAACGTTGTCGTAGTATAGCTATAAGCAAGAACCTTAGCAAGTTTCTTCTCCTTCATTATCTTCCTAACTCTCTCAACATCTTTCCACATTCCTCTAAATGCATACACATTAGCTAGGACCACATAAACACCATCGTTCCACGGCTCGAGCTCGACCATGTATTGAGCCACCCACTCAGCCATCTCAACATCCCCAAACTTCTCACACCCACCCATCAAACAACCCCAAACCACCACGTTAGGCTTCATCGGCATCCCTTCCACAACTTTCTTAGCCTCCTTAAGCTGCCCGTCTCGGCTCAGCAGATCAACTATGCATCCGTAATGCGATAAGCCTGGTTCTAGTTCAAATTCTGACTTCATCATTTCGAAATAGGCTTCTCCTTCCCCCACAAGACCTCCATGGACACAAGCACTAAGTACTCCTACGAACGTGACCTTGTTCGGTCTGACACCGGACTCTCTCATCCGACGGAAGTATTCTAAAGCCTCTAACGTTCTACCGTGAGCTGCGTAACCCATGATCATCGAGGTCCATGAGACAACGTTTCTCTGTGGCATTTCGTCGAATAATTGATTCGCTAAATCCATATGACCGCATTTTCCATACATATCGATAAGCGAATTCATCATCATGATATCAGATTTCTCTTCGGGTTTCGCTTGTAAAACGCATTTGTGCAACTGAAGAGCTAAGCTCAAATCACCTAAGCTTCCACAAGCTGATGTCACACTCACCATAGTGAAATCGTCCGGCTCGAATCCGTTCCTTTTCATCTCCACAAACATTTCCACAGCCTCGCCTCCTCGCGCTGCCTGATTCAACCCTCCAATAATAGCGTTCCAAGACCCCAACTTTCTCTCAGGATTTTCATCGAACACCTTGCGTGCACTCTCGATTTCCCCTGCTTTACAATACAACGTGATAAACCCACTCTCGCAGAACTCATCTCCGACGAACCCTAGCTTCACGGCGACGGAATGAATCTGCTTTCCCATCGGAAAATCATGAATCTGAACGGCGGATTTGATTACAATCGGAAGAGTATATCGATCAGGCAAAACATTTGATCTCACCATACCGAGATACAATTGAACAGCATCAAGAGGAGATTCATGACGTATGTAAGATCGCATGATGTTGTTCCATAAGAAAGGATTCCGATACTGATCGAGGATTTTAGAACGGAAGATATCACCATGGATTCGACGGACACGAGCAAGACTGTTGCAGTTTGATAACAGAGTAGCTAAGAGTCTGTTTCGATCTTGAGGTGATAGAGACGTAGTCAAAGAAGAGACCAAAGGTTCATCTATGGCGGTGGTTGCTACGGTGGCCGGAGTAATAGAATGATTCGATCGGTGAAAGCCGGTGAAGAAATTTGCTCTCTTATTAGTACCATGAAGCCTAGAGAAGAAGAACATAAGTGTTTTTGTTTTTGTCCCTGATCCAAAACCAAACCTCTTAAGTTCACAAATTTATTACATTAAACAGAAATTAAGAAATTCGATTACAACATAATACTGAATCAAAAAGCGAAACTGTTTCCATAGATCCAACATAAGAAGTTTTATATATTGAAACAAAGATCAGTTACTGAGCTTTCAAAGTCTTTTAACGATCACCGCGTTCGTTCGAAATTGATCTTGGTTCGACCGGAACCACCATGGTCGTCCCTCGAAGAGCTACCGCCACCACCACTTGCTCTCATTGTTCCACCAGAGCCGATTTTGTCCAAAGGTTTCTTACCTTTCTTCAAGTCATGCACCCATTGACCAAGACCGAAAGGATCTTCTTCCTTTTCCTTTTCAAACTCAACAGGTCGTTCTCTTTTGCCCGATCTCTCGGAAGCACCGGTAAAAGCTTTGTCTGGTTTAAACCTCTCAGTGTTCTTGAGCTTATCGACCTGTTCGTCTGCGTTTCCATACATTTCTTCATCCGTATCTTTCTTTGGCTTGTACAACGTCGAAAGAGTTGGTTGTGCAGTGAACAAGCCTTTGTCATATACGTTGTATTGGTCATCAGTGGCGAAACCAGAATCCATTCCTTTCTCTTGGTTAAACAGACGCTGATCATACATAACTTCACCGCCGCCTTTTCCTCCAGTAGATGCCATTCCAAGAGCAACTTTCTCACTGATATCACGGTCTCTGTCTCTCGTGATCTTGCTCTTCTTTCCCATGGCAGCATCTTTAGCTTCCAA